CTTCCCTTAGATGCATAGAGAGAACCTCAAGGTTGATTGAGATGGACAGTTTAATAGTGACTTAGCCATATGTACTATGTTGAAATTTGTGCTAGCAGTTTGAGCACTAGTTCTGTGTGCCTATGAACTTAATGCTGCTTGTGGTCCCATTCCACTTTGATTTCATGGAGAATTAATCCCAGCTATTAAGCAAAGGCTACTAAGTTAATGGTATTTTCATTGCAGAATTAAATCTAAGGAATTTTTCCAGTAGGTACACAAGCTACTTAGAAACAACATAAAAATTACTCTCAAACATTCATCATTAGACAACTGGAGTTTTTGCTGGTTTTGTAACCTACTAAAATGGATAGGCTGTTGAACATTCCACATTCAAAAGTTTTGTAGGGTGGTGGGTAATGGGGGAATCTTCAATGTTTATTTTAAAATAAATAAAAATAAGTTCTTGACTTTTTTCATGTGTGGTTGTGGTACATCATATTGGAAGGGTTATCTGTTTACTTTTACAACGAATATTTCTTTGCTAGCACCTCCCCTTGCGTGCTGCCTGGGATGTACCACAACCATATGTTAGCTATATTTTAGGGGTTGGGAAAATACTCGTGGCTTATTGAATAATCCCCAGATGATGTGTGCTTGCAATCCTTTGAAACTAAATTTACTATCTGTACTATAGCAAATAATTTCCTGACATTTAAAAATCAAAATTGAAGTAAATAAGTTATTTATACAATGTTTAGCATATCAGCTCTGAGATGAGAAAAGCCTTCTTAGTTTCAAACTTCTATGCATTACTGCAAATGTGAATGTGAAAAAGTGTCCATAGTTTGGTTACTTCTATGTATTTTTCAAAGAATCATTTGTTCCTTTCAAAACATTACTGTCACTGTTTAAAATGTGTTTTATGTCTTAATTCAACCATATTTCTTAAAGGAATGCTTCATTACAGAGCAGATAACTTTTTTAAAACGTCCCATTAAGATATGAATCTTGATACTCCGTATTCTGTATAATATTTGAATGCTTCTTAGCTGCAAGAAAGCCTTTTGTTTGGTCAGACGTATATTTTAAGAGCGTTACCAGGAGATGATTGTCAGACATGTCTCTTAGTGTAGCAAGTTCACATGTAACATACTTTTGTACATAAGACAATTATGAGTCAGCTCACATAGATAATGAAATTCTTTCCTTAAAAGCTTTAGTAAAGGTAGAATGCTATTCATTGCTTTGGTTAGGGTAATTTTATTTCTAGATAAATTCCATTGTTCAAATACAGTTTTTTTTTTTTTTTTTTTCCCCTCCTCCTGGTCATTCTATCTTGATACTAAGACAAATGCCCTTCAGTTTTTTTTTTTTTAATGGGACTGGGGTTTGAATTCAGGGCTTCACGCTTTCAAAGCAGATACTCTATTGCTAGAGGCACACCTACAGTCCGTTTCGCTCTGGTTATTTTGGGACTGGGGTTTTATGTATGTTTTGCCCAGGCTGGCCTCAATCTATGATTCTCTTCATTTCAGCTCCCAAGTAGGTAGCATTATAGGTGTGAGCCACTGGTGCCTGGGTGCCCTTTCAGTGTTCTTAATTAGAGTTCAGTGTTCTTAGAGTTTTTCTTATATATATTATTTTTTGTGGGGAAGACTTTCCACTAGTAGGAGAAATGAGAATGGGTGCTTATTCTCAGGTTCATTAACTGAGGTGCTCAGCTGACACCAGTTCTTAAATGTAGTAGTTGAAGCAGCTTTCTATTTGTCTTAGGCAGTTTATATTGTTCATTATATTTTCAGTGACATCTAATTTAGGGAGATGGGATGCAGATAAGCAGTGAATCGATACGCTTCATTTCAACTTAAAGCTCTAATTCTGCACCCCACTTTAATCCTTACTGAGCACTGGCATATATTTCAAAGGATCAGTATTGCCCTTAGCTTGTCCCTTTTATGGAGTTAATGGAGAGGAAAACTCCCGGGAAAATGAAAGCTTTTTAATTAAGGTTCATCTCTATATCTTTTCTTATTTTAAATCCTATACAAATCTAGTAGATGTTTTAAATTTTCTGTTTAATTAAAAAACTTGATTCCGTATTGTCCTTGAGCTAAGTCTGAAGTTGTATATATCATCCGGCAAAATTTTGAAGAAGTTCTCCTTGTGAAAGAAGAAAAGACTTAATGTCTGTCTGGTAGTCTCATCTTCTAAGAAGGCTGGACTACAAACTTGTATTCTATTACTATACTACTGTAATACCTACTTCTGAAAGCTAATCTGGGTACATGCCTGGCTGCTTGAGTGTAGGCAGTGAAAGACCAGCACTTTGTCTCTCTTCTATTAAAGGCAGATTTTTAGCATCTTAGGTTTTATTTGTATTAGCTTTCTGTAAGTACTGTATTTTATTAGGGAGACAATTAGGTACTGAACTAAGCATTCAGTACATTTGAGTATCATTTGTCAGGCCTCATGTCAAGCACTAGACATTCAGTGGTGACAAACATCAATTCCAGCTTCCATTGAATTATCTAGTCAAACACTTGTGACCTAAAAGTGTAGTAAATGACAGGATGGGACAATATGGTTAATGATAAATGTTAAGACCATGTCTGAAGCTGGGCGCCAGTGACTCAATGCTTATAATCCTAGCTACTTGGAAGGTTGAGATTGGGTAGATAGAGGTTTGAGGCCAACTTGGGGAAATAGTTTGTGTGAGACCCTATCCAAAATAACCAGAGCAAAATGGAGTGGAGTTGTGGCTCAAGCGGTAGAGCACCTGCTTTGTAAACACAAAGCCCTGAGTTTAACCTCAGGTTCACCAGAAACGAATCATGGCCTAGTCAAGATGGTAGGATAAGACTTCATTGAAAGGGGTACTTGAGGTTAGACTTCAGAAATGAGATGTGGTAAACCATACAAGGGGAAGAAGAAGCATAGCCAATGGCCCAAACTCCAGTGACTATGTGACCCAAGTGGAAAGAGTAAAGATTAATGGGCTGGAAAAATGAATAAGGGCCACTGTACACAGCTGCATAGTTGTATTTTGTGTTTTGTCTCTTAGGAACAGTTGGAGGACTGATAGAATGGTTCATGTGGTATAGTTCCTCTCTAGCAAACCCAAAACCTTGAGTTAAACTCCCAATACCACCCTCAAAATTTTGGGTATTAAGGGGTTGTAAGCAGTATATGTGTTGGGGGGTGGTATTGGGTCACCTAATAAAATTGCCATTTAAAGACTGCAATGCTGAGAACAAAATGAATGGGTCAAGAGTTTAGAAGGTACATTTTATTGAGGTTGATTCTTACTCTTAACATGAACAATGTAACATAAGGTGAGTGCATTTTACACATTTTCTGTCTTGACTACTGTTTAGTATATGTGCTGATACTCCTGTAAGCCTTGGTTTTCGGGCTTTATTTCTATGACCTAGGTGATCTCATCCTATCTCCTGATTGTGAATATAATATGAACAGTGTTTTGGTCACTAAGTATTTCTGAGGCCCATACCCTTCAACTGCATACCGACACTAAACAGCAACTTGAATGTGTAAAACATTTCAAATCAACATTTTAATTACCAACATATCTATTCAGCCAAGTTCATGTCAGTAAGTTGGGTGCTATCTTTGATTTCCTTTTATACCCTGTATCTTATCGTTAAGTAAAACTATATAGTTTTACTATGAGAGTTTTCCTGAGCCATTGTAGCACTTGTGACCACCACTACTATTCTAGAACAGGCAACTTCAATAGCCTTTATGACAGTTCGCTGTACTGTTGCTTGTACTGTGGTGTATTTTCCACAGCAACCATAATGAGTCAAGAGGACAGATTGGATCTTGTCATTCCCCTGTTGCTAAAGTGGTTTACCATCACAACTTAAATCCCAAATCTGGTCCACATATCCAACATTTGACTTGCTTTCCTACCATTTTTCCACTTGCTCACAACAGTGGTCATACTGGCTGCTTTTAAGTAGTTTTAAAAACTCAGATGTCCTCGATTTAGTCTAAATTTTGAATTTTTTCCCCTCTGATGTTCTTGGAGGGCTTCCCTTGTCCACCACCTCTAAAATAGTAAGTACTGTGGGCACTTTTTTCATAACAGCGTTTAGAATGTGAGTTTCAGGTCCTTATAAGTGAACTATCCCTTAAGAATAGTGTCTGGCATAATGACATTTTCTTACATGAATTTGAAAATGGTGAGTCCTGGGTGGATAAGTAATGTTGGGTGGTGATACTAAAATTCTAAGTGCATTTGGGGAAAAATTTCAAAGGTAAGCAATGAGTTCGGTTTTGGATATGTTTGTGGTACCCAAGAAGGGATGTCATGCAAGTAGTTGCATGGATAGTTGAAGTTAAGCGACATGGTTTAAAAAAGTGCAAAATATGTGTGGGTACCCACTGTGAACATGTGCTGGAATGAGTTTATTGGGAGGTGGAATAGGGGAGTGGATGAAGATCAAAGCCCGGGTTTTGTTTTTAGGTAGAGCTTCGACACTTGGGATACCTGCCTAGGGATCTCGCCACGTACAGCGACTGCAATTGTGGGTAGAAAGTCTACAGGGTTGTAGACTAGTACACAAAGTGCTTTTTGGGTGGAGGGTCAAGCGAGGTGAATAAAACGGTTCTTCTGGCTGGAGTTTCTCTTGGCACATTAAAATAGATGGGTCGGTAAAATTGAGCACAGGCTCGGGGAGCAGCCGCCTCTTGCATAACCCCGCAAGACCATGCGGTGCACAGACTTGTGGGGGCCAACTAGCAGCCGATAGCCCCTGCACGGTGGCAGGAGCTGCTGGTGTGGCTATTGAAATACTTATTTTGCCCGGAGTAGCCAGGTTTTCTTGGTTCGAACAGGAAGAGTAGCCAATTGCACCAGCTACAGCGACTAGCCCGTGTGAGCAGCCGCTTGGGGACCTTGGCTGTAGCCCCGCCTCCCGGGCGCTGACGTCATCACCCAGAGACAGCGTTGAGGAAGGGCCCATCTCCCAAACGCCGCGGAGCGAGGGGAGTCTGCGCGCCGCAGCTGGGCGTTCGCTTGAGGCACCTCCCTGTGGTGCTCCGTCCTGCAGTACTTCCGTGCCCCCACGTGTTTCCGCTTCGCCACTGGCTGGGTTCGTCGGACCCCGGGCGCAGGTACTTCCCGGGAGGTATAGGGACTATGGTTAAGGTGGGCGTCCGTGTCCTTCCTGGGCCGGGAGGGGGCTGTTCCGCGGACGAAAGCTCTGCTTGCTGGCTGGCGCTCGGCCACGCCGACTGCCGCCCTCGCTGGACACGCCACATGACAGGCGCCCGTCAGCTCTCAGGACCTTGCTTCTCCAGCGCTGGATGCTCTCTCTCTCAGGGGACCTCTACCTGGGGTCGCGGAGAATGGTGGATGACAACTCCTGCTTTCCGCGGACCTTGCCACTGTTGTGGTTCCCACGCTGAGCTTCCTTCCAACTGAGGCGATCTGATCCTAGATCCTCTCGGGCTCTTATGTACTTAAGTGCCCATTCATTTATACGCTTTATTCAAGCAATCACGTTCAGGACCTCAATATTATTTAACAGAGGAATGAATGAATAAGGGGATGAAAACTAAGTATCTCTTTCTTTCTCTTTTTTCCTCCCCTTGTAGAGTCGCTCCTCGTCTATTAGGCGCAACTTCAGTTCACAGTAATCTCAGGTCTTCATCAGATCCATTACTGTAGCTGTTATTATTATTGGCCGCCCTGGGGTTTGAACTCAGGGTCCCTGCTAGGCAGGGACTCTTGAGCCACTCCGCCGGCCCTTTTTTGCTTTTATTTATTATTATTATTTTTTTTAAATAGAGCCTTGCTTTTTGCCCAGGTAGCCCTGAGCCATGATTGTCCGATCTCCACTCCCCAAGTAATTAGAATTACAGGTGTGAGCCACCGTGCCCGCTGTAGCTACTATTTTTTATTTATGTCGATTTTTTTCTGTGTATAGTTGTCTCCCATCTCTTTCTCCTTAATACCATCTTCAGGAACAATGAAAGCTTGAAGTCAAGAGCCTTACCTGATACTTCTAGGACTCCCATACTAACTACAGCAAAAATCAGCTCCCATAATTACTGATTTGTCTTCATGAGGTCTTTATGTAGGTGGCAAATAGACCTCTAAGTTTAGCTGGTTGGCAAAGTGGCAGGAGCTGAGGATTTGAAGTCACACAGGCTTGAGTGTGAATCCTACCTCTGGCACTTTTCTGCCTTGGGATGCTCGAATTCTTTATACTACTTGCCCCTTTACTTATAAACTGGGGCCATAGATTGTGACATTGTTTTATAGTGAGACATGCTAAAATCCATGTTTGGATTGGGAGGTTAAAGTTAAGTTTCAAATAATGAAGTTTATGTTTAGAGTGTAGCAGGCAGTGGAGTTTGTAAATAGCATAGCCTGTCACTTTTACATTGTAATAATGTAATTGACATTTCTGATGTTTCTTTGGCTTCAATGTGGTTTTTTTTCTCACTTAAGGAAACACATTTTGTTATAGAAATATTGTTCATTTCTTTTCCCTGACTTTATTAGTGAGATGAGAATTTTAAGAAACCAAGTCATAAAAAACAAAAGATTGGCCAGGCATAGTGGCTTGTGCCTGTAATCCCAGGTCGGCAGGAGGCAGAGATGGGGAGTATTTGAGGCTAGTAGAAAGTTAGTAAGACCCTATTTCAACCAATAAGCCAAGCATGTTGGTGTGGCCTGTTATTCCAGCTACACAGGAGTCTAGGTAGGAGGATCTAGGTTCAAGGCTGGCCCTAGGTAAAAATACGAGATTCAACCTATAAAATAACTAAGAGTAAAAGAGGACTGGTGGAATGGCTCAAGTGGTAGAATGTCTGCCTAGGAAGTGCGAGGCCCTGAGTTCAAATTTTAGTCCTGCCCCCCAAAAAAGATGCAAATTACACCATTCAGAAATAACTAGTTTATATAGTAGTTTTCTCACAGCCTTTTAAACTTTTTCCTGTCTGTGTTATACATATGCATTTCAAATGATATACTTTGTCTTTCCATGCTGTTCTCCCATAAGCATCTATATCCATTATTGTTATTAGCTCTGTACTGCCTAGGGTATCTTGTATGCCAGGCGTGCACTGTAACCATGCCCCCTAGCTCTTTATATTCATATCTTAGGATAGCTTTTGAAAACACTTTGGATATATGGATATACCATTATATATTTGGTTATTTTTTTTTTGACTGGTAATGTCCTGATTTTTCTTAAACTCCTTGATAGAGATGTGAATTATGCTGACTTGCTGACTTCCTATGCTTAGGAGGGTTCACCTCCCAAGCCTCAGTTTTCTGATTTTAAAACAGACTGTCTTCCCTATGGAATTGTTTGAGAGCTAAAATAATTCTTACAAATGTGTCTTGCCTTCAAGAGGTGGCCAGCTAGTGCTACTTGCCCTTAGTCTGGTGTTTGGTCCAGTTACCTTTCCTTTCTTTACCTTTCAGTTGTAGTCTTTCACCATGCATCGGAAGAAGGTGGATAACCGAATCCGAATTCTCATTGAGAATGGGGTAGCTGAGAGGCAAAGGTCTCTTTTTGTTGTAGTTGGGGATCGAGCAAAAGATCAGGTAAGACTTGGTAAATACTTCCAGTGTTATTTTGTGTCCTGTCCCAAAGAGTCAGCATATTCTCCAGGCCCTTTGGGGTTTCAGCATGTAATGAGTTTAAGACCCCTTTGGCTGGTATGCCTAGTGGGAACCTTTCTTCATGTTTTAGAAGTGGTGAATTCTCTGTATTTAGATTTATTAGCAGACAAGCAATACCTTTTGAAGTCCAGGGTGATGGATTGATCACAAGGTTAACTATGCCACCTAGCTTCTAGTCTATACCTGGTCATTACTTTCCTTGTGACCTTGGGTGCCAGCCCTTCCCTGTCTGTCCATTTAGTTTCTACATCTGCCAGATGAGGTCTTGGCCTGGCAGTCTCCATGGTCTTTTTTGCCTCTGAGGTTCTGTGATGTTTTTCTTTGGCAGGTCGTAATTCTCCATCACATGTTGTCCAAAGCAACCGTGAAGGCTCGGCCTTCAGTGCTGTGGTGTTACAAGAAAGAGCTGGGGTTTAGCAGGTAAGCTTGGCTCTTGGGTGTCCCATGCCACTTAGATACCTGCTTCTTTAGTTAAATGCCAGGAAATATTTCCTTGACATATTTTTTTCAGAGTTTTCGGGATCATGCTGTAATTCAGACCAGCATTTTCCCTTGTTTTTATTGCCATATATCTTAAAACTGAAGCCTTTTCTTCTTGCTCCCCCGCCTTTTGATGTTGGCTTCTGTTGTCATTGTGCCCACATGTGTTCATAAGCACCCTCAGAGACCTGATGTCTAATGCAATAATTTTTGCCTTCTCCTTTTCAGAGCTCATACACCAGTTCACTGCTTTGACAGTTGACTATATTTTTTTTCTTTTTGGTGGTGCCGGGGATAGAACACAGGGCTTCTTACAATCTAGGGAGAAGTGCTCTACCACTGAGCTACCTCCCAGCCTGATTCTCTTATTTTCTGAAGCTGTGGTTTTCAAGACAAACAGCAGATACCGCCAACACAAACCCACTTTTGTGCCGAGAGAGTGTATGGAAGTATACAACATCAGGAAGCCGAAGGGGCTAAGGCTTAGGTATAATCTTCTGCTTCCTGCCCTTGTCCAGACTCTCATATCTGTTTTGTGCTTTCTCACTGCAGACTAACTGTTTTCTCCTGTCCTTTTGACAGAAACAGAACTTGAGTTTTACATATTTCAGGGCCAAGCATGTGGAAATCAGGCTTTTCTTGTGGAAAGATGCCCACAAAATGGGGCATCACATAGTGATGGGGTTGGTCACATAGTTGAAACCTGGCGGTTCTCCCTATAACTCTGTGTTTAGAGAAATTCGGGATGGAGTGGTTACCTGTGAAGTACTCTTCTTTCTTGACCTTGGGGTACTTACTTGGGCTACTTTCCTGAGCGCTTCACTTTCCCTTCATCTTATCCCCTACCTTTAACCTACCTCACATGCGTGATTTGTCCTTGAGCCTCTTCTAGCTTATTTATCCCCAAATATGCTCATCTTTAATGCTGACTTTCAGATCCTGTCTCCCTCCTCTGTGCTGTGTTGAGCCTCCGTACTCTTAGCTCATGCTTCTCTGCTGATCCTCCTCTGATGCCCCTCCGACATCACCTACTGAAATGGTGTCGACTTTTCAGGGCTTCCCTCCTCCCATGAAACTTTTCCTGGGCCTCTCAGTCATACCTAAGAGCTCCTCCACGGTCTTCATTGCTTGGCTTCCCCTTAATGCTAGTTACTGATCATATAAAGTCTTACTCTTGCCTTGTGATATAGTCATTTATGTACTGTGACTTGTATCTTTCTCTTACTCCCCTTATTCTCCCCTTCTAGCTTCCAGGTGATAAGCTCGTTTACTTAGGAGTCTTCTCTTATTTGTCTTTATGTTTTCTTGCTTTCAAATGATCTAGCACAAATGATGTAAGTACTAAGTTAATATTTGTTGAGTTAGGCTTATTGTTAACTGATTCTAAAATTATTTTAAATAAATCTGATTCTGCCTAAAAGAAACCAGATTTTGAAGAAATAATTTGGTCTTTTTAAAAAAAGTTACAAAAGTCTTCTTGTAGGACATGAGAAAATGAAGAGCACTCAGGATCATATAGGCATTGTTAGCATTTAGTTTTGGATCACTGACATTTTATTGCATATTTTCTTTTCATAAAATGTAGGCATTTTATTTTGGGGTGCAAGGATTGAAGCCAGTGCCTTGTACATACCAAACATGTGCTGTACCACTGAATTATACACTCAGCTCCAAATATTCTTAATACACATTGAGAAAAAGGCCTGTTGCTTGTCTTAGAATTTTGTTTTGAGGGCTTCTGACTGTCAGTATTTTTTATTTGGTAATTGTGAGATTGGTGTGGAATCAAGCAAGTCCATGGTTTCTTGGCACAATTGCCTTTCAAACTTAACTCTTTTTTTTTTTTTCACTTTTAAAACTCTGTTCTTCACCTCTTGTAGTTCTCCTACCCACCTCTTTCACATCTGCAGGATATCATGCTTCCTTATAAGTCATGAGCATAGGGCATGAACCAGAAGGAACAGTGGAGGCTACCTCACCCAGGTGCCTAAGTTCACAGAGGAAGTGGAGGTCTGCAGGGGAAGGGGCCTTGGTTCTAGCTATTAAGTTAGAGAATTGTGGTAAAATTCTGATCAGTTATAAGCCACCATCCTGGAACTTTCTTGTTCTCTCTTTCTGTAAAGAGCCGGTAAAGTGGTAGGTGGATGTCTTGGAGATGTCTAGCTCCCATTCCAATTTTTATATCCTGTATCACTATTGTCTTAGATAAACAGCTGCCCCTGAGGACATGATCCCACTTCCTGGACAAAGAAATAGATGAGTTCATCAAGGAAACATAAATATAGAAGTCTGCCAGCAACCCACCTTTCCTAGGTCCTTTGGGGAGCAGCACCATGTAATATCTGCTCAAGTCCTCAGAGTAAAATAGCAGAGTAGTTCACAGATAGATCACCATCTTCCTCTAGAGCCCACTCTGTTCCAATACCCCTCCACTTTGCTTTCCAAGTTCCCCACCTTCCAAGTTCCCTAGTAGCTCTGAGGGTCTGAGAAAGTGGTCATTGAGCCTCTCTCCTCTCCCACCTCTTTTGCCTCTGGTTAACTGATTCTCATGGGATGGGGGTATTGCAGTCATCGGAAGAAGAGAATGCGACAGCTACAGAAGAAAATAAAGAATGGGACCTTGAACATAAAGCAAGATGACCCCTTTGAACTCTTTGTAGCGGCCACAAACATCCGCTACTGCTACTACAACGAGACCCACAAGATCCTGGGCAATACCTTTGGCATGTGTGTCCTCCAGGTGAGTGACTTCCTCCAGCCTGGACATTGACGGGTGTTTGGGCTGCCTGCTTCCCTACTGGAAGTGGGTACAGTAAGAAGGAAAGATTGACTTGTAAATGCCCTTCTCCCTCTCATCTCCCAAGTGGAAGACTCAGCCATTACCAAAGGAAACTGGATCACTCACCCTACATTTTTTTTTTTCGTGGCACTGGTGTTTGTGCTCAGGGCCTTGTGGTTCCTAGGCAGGCTCTGCATCAGTTGAGCCGTTGGGCCAGCCATCACAATATATTAGAAAAAGAGTTTTCTGCTTAAGTCAGCACCTGGCTAGATACCCGAACTTACAGCGATGTACCATCAGTGGTTCTGACCAGCTGAGGCTGATAATGTGAGCACTGGGAACTCGGAGTGACCCTAGAGCCCAAGGCCTTACCGGCACTCACTGAACACTGGCCTGTGAGTAAGGGACTTGTTTAGCCAGCTGAGTTCAGACAGACATGACATCTGGTCATGTCCTCTCCTGAGTGCTTGAGCTGTCCCCACGGGCCTGTCACCTGCATTCTAGCCCTTCAGAACCTCTCACTTCCCCCCCCAGAGAAAACTTGGTGAATTTCTCCAGTCATGCATTTTCTCCCCAGGCAGCTAATAGACTAAGTTTCTCATTTTTCTTTGTTTTTACTTCTGGTGGGCTATTTTTTAGTTTTTTTTTTTTTTTGGTATATCTGTGACTCCCTCTTCCCCCCAAAATACAAAAAGTTTATGTGCAAATTTACACATTTTTTATGTATTTATTATATTATTATATTTATATATTATGACCATGATTATAAAACATCTCACAAAATATAAATTAAGAAGTGAGGGAAGGAAATGAAGAAATTAAATTCTTAGGCCAGGTGAGGTGGTGCATGCCTGGAATCCCAGCTACGTGGAAGGCAGAGATGGGAAGGTCATGGTTTGAGGCCAATTTGGGCAAAAGCTAGGGAGAACCTATCTCAAAAGATAAGTCAAGTATGATCATGCATCCCTGTAATACCTGCTAGTCTTGAGGCAGAGGGGAGTATTTAGGAGGATTCTGGTCCAAGGCTGACCCTGGTCAAAAAGCTGAGGCCCTATCTGAAAAAGAAGTAAAGCAAAAATTGCCTGCAGACGTGGTTTTAGTGGAAGAGTATTTGCAAATAGAAATTCTTGTTTTTTTTCTTTCTGCAGTCCAGTGGATTGTCTCATGTACTGCTGGCTTACATCCCACCTTAGAGGTCAGAAAGAGCATTTCGGGCACTCAGTAATTGGTGGGGAGTGTGCTCTTTTAAGCAACAGCTCCCCCATGTGGTGCAGTTGAATTTTGTTACACAGGTTCCACCTGTAAATACGCGAGAAAGTTAGTGTAATGTAATGTAATGAATGAATGTAAGATGTATCTGAAGTTCTGGTGTAAATCAGTGATGTTCAGAAGGCTTGGTTTAAAATAGGATTTTAATAGTGATTATTAGAAATATTTTATCATATAATATTAGGTCTACTTGTATTCCAGGGCTGGGCTGTCTTCTGTGGTGCTCCTAAGCAAGGGGCTATGAGTGTGTGTATGTGTATTTCTTGGTGAGCAGGGCTGGGAGATACAGCCTTGGGCTTTTGCCTTATCACCTAGCCCTTGGTTAAGCATCCCTGGGGGTGCTGTTTGCAAAACTGGCCCTTAATAAGATTTCCTTCTTCTAGGATTTTGAAGCCTTAACTCCAAACTTGCTGGCCAGGACTGTGGAAACAGTAGAAGGCGGTGGGCTGGTGGTTATCCTCCTGCGGACCATGAACTCACTCAAGCAGTTGTACACGATGACCATGGTAAGGCTGTGTCTTTTTACTTAATAATGGGGGCTCAAGTCTGTCTGTTTTTGCTGTAGTTTACTGTTCTTGAGACAGGTTTCTTTGTAGACAAGGCTGGTCTTGAGGGGGGAGAAATGAACCAAGCCTTGTATGCACATATGAATAATAAAAGAAAAAAGAAAAAAGGAAAAAAAAAAAAGGCTGGTCTTGAACTTGTGATCCTCCTGCTTCAGCCTCCCAAAGTGTTGGGATTACAGGAGTACACCATCATGCATGGTCTATAGTCAACTTTCTTTAAAGATATCCTATTAGAGTGCTCTAGTAAGTGGTCAGCACAACCTCTGGCTGGGAGTCTTTGACTGCAGCTAACTTACAGCTACTGCAGAGAAATCTCGGGGGCTCTGGACCTGCCTGAAGTTCACATTTGTTCTTAGGCATTTGCAGATTCCATACTGGTGAGATTTGGAGCTTTTATGTAATTAAACCTCCTGGAATGGTATTCCACAAAGGGCAGTACTTGGGCCTAAGTTTGTGTTTTGCAAAAAAGGGACCATACTAGGCTTCCTTACTGACCCCTCGTCTTCTGATGGGCAGTGAAGGAACATTTATTTGCCAGTAAGGCACACTAGTTGGCACACACATCTCATTGATGCTGGATGAAATGTGAAAAACAACAAGCATGAGGTGAGGAAGCATTTACTGGGATAAGAAACATTGTAGTTGGTATCTTTCTGATCTAGTTGGAGCAAAGAGCACTTGGCCAGTTCAGCAGGTAGGAGATTTGTTTCCAGTAGGATTGCAGATGTCTCCTTGGATAGAGCTTCATGTTTGGACCCTGGCCGCAGTACCTTTATATGCTTTGTTGATGGATGTTGTCTTGCTTTTGTAGGATGTGCATTCCAGGTACAGGACTGAGGCCCATCAGGACGTGGTGGGAAGGTTCAATGAGAGGTAGGTCTGCAGGACATTTCTCACTTCCTTGGAGTTGTAGGGGATCCAGAGTGCGAGAAATATTTTTATCTTGGATCCAACTGGAAGCTTTGCCTGCATATCTGGAGAGATAGTATAGGCTTCCAGAAGGTAAGAACTTGGCAGCAGCTGCAGCTGTGAAGCCAGCTGGATGCAGTGAAAGGGGTGGGATGTTGAGGCCAGGACACCTGGACTGTCTTGCCGCTGGCCCTGACCACTCTCTAGCTGAGCTCACTTGTCATTCAAAGCGGTGGTGTATCTGGATTGCTGTTTCACAAAAGGAATTTCACAGAATAGAGGTTTTTTTTGTCTTTTAACTTCCCTGTTACCCTTTCTTGTCCCCTTTCTACTTTCATGTCTTTTTAAAATCTAGATTCCACGTATGAAAGAAAGCATGGGATATTAACTTTCCTTCCTGGGTTATACCAGGATTTGAACTCGGAGGCTTGCACTTGTTAAGCAGGTGCTGTATGACTTATGAGCCATGTCCCCAGCCATTTTTGCTTTAGTTATTTTTCAGATAAGGTCTCACTTTTGCTCAGACTGGCCTTGGACCATGATCCTCCCAGGTAGCTGGGATTATAGGTGTATACCACCACAGCTGGCTTCTTTTTTTGTGGCACTGGGGTTTGAACTCAGGGCTTCACACTTGGAAAGAGCAGGTACTCACAAAGCAGACACTCTACCACTTGAGTCACATCTCCAGTCCATTTTGCTCTGGTAATTTTGGAAATGCAGTCTCATGAACTATTTGCTTGGGCTGGCCGCAAACTGTGAGCCTCCCAGTCTCAGCTTCCCAAATAGCTAGGAGTATAGTTGTGAGCCACTGGTGCTCAACTTGCTTGTTTTTTGAGATGGGATCTAGTATTTTTTGCTCAGGCTGGCCTAGAACTGCAATTCTACCATCTCTATTTAGTATTTGCCTTTCTGAGTCAGAATTATTTCACTTAACATGATGATCTCCAGTTTCACCTATTTTTCTGTAAATGACATAATTTTGCTCTTTATGACTGAATAAAGCTCCATTGTGTATATACCCTATTTTCTTTCTCCACCCATCTGTTGATGGGCACCTAGACTCATTCTATAACTTAGCAATTGAGAGCACTAGTCTTTTAAGAGGGACAATAGGACAACATGATTTTCTGCCAAGGCAGAAAGTCATGTCTGGGAACTGCTGATGCTGTCTTTTCTTTATGAAGAGTCACATCAGCCTATTGTAGCCTCTGAAAAGTCTTATAGTAGCTGGGACCTGTTTAACTGGTTGTTTCCCAAATTGTTTCATCACAGTCCTTTTTTAGAGTCAACTAGTCCTTAAACACCAACCTGTAAAACACCTTGATCACCCAGAGTGATTTTGCCTCCACTAGGACACTTGTCAATGTAGGGGTACAGTTTGACTGTCACAACTTGGGGGTGGTAGGAGAGGGTGCTATTGGTATTGAGTGTGTAGAAATCAAGGATGCCACTGGAAATCCAGTGCACAGTATAGCCTCTACAACAGAGAACTGTCTTGTCTAAGGTTTAAACTGTGCTGAGGATTAGAAATTTTGGCCTTGTGGAATCTGGGGGCCTTTCTGATTATCACAGCCTGTGACACTGGCTCAAAAGACTGAGGAGGATCAGCTATGGCTAGTACCTAGAGCAGAAGCCTGTGAAAGAGGTGAGGCCCTTGCAGCATGGAGGATGTTTGAATTGTAGCAAACTCTTATTTATTTATTTTTAAGTAGCTTTTTTTTTTTTTTTTTCTTTAGGCAAGAAATGTGTTGCATTTCTTCAGGGAGCTTTCTTCTCCCCCTCTTCCTTTTGTTTTTTCTTCTTTGTGACAGAAGTTAAGTTGTGTATGTTCCCTGAGTGCCTGGTGACCATATGTGGCTTGGGTTTGAAGTCATAGCTACCTAATTGCTAAGGATGAAGGAAGGGCCAGCAGTGGTTGCTGTGCACAACAGGGATCATTGGTGGATTATTGGGTTTTCTTGATTAGCAGAGAAGCATGGTTCAGGTGACTCGCAAAGGGGGCTCTGAATCATCTCACTGCGCTCCATCTTGGTTTTGGCTTTCTTAGAGACACATGGGGCTGAATGATTTTCTTGTATAGATATGGCCTGCCCTCCCAGAACCTCACTATAGCGGTTTTCTTCCTCAGGTTTATTCTGTCTCTGGCATCTTGTAAGAAGTGTCTGGTCATCGATGACCAGCTCAACATCCTTCCCATCTCCTCCCACATGGCCAACATCGAGGCTTTACCTCCACAAGTTCCAGTAAGTCTGGGTCAGGGGAGCAGTATATGTGTATGTGTGTTATTTCCGTGGTGACTCCTATGACCGTGCAAACTTCCTCCTCCTCTTCTCTCTGGTAGGATGAGAATCTCAGTCCTTCTGCTCTGGAGCTGCAAGAATTGACAGAGAGCTTGCAGGACACTCAGCCTGTGGGTGTATTGGTGGACTGTTGCAAGACCCTAGACCAGGTACGTGCTGGTTCAGAGCTTGCCCACCCCAGTGTCTAGAACACAAGCTAAGAAAGTGTGCTGAGAGCAACAGGAGTAAGCCAGCCTCTCCTGGGAAGGAGCCTTTTCTCGGCTATTCCATGTGGTCTGGGTTCACAAAGGAAGCCAGTTCAGGGAGCAATAGGGGGCTGGGGGAGCTGGACGAATCCCTTTTATAGAGGAATCCCTCACTGCTTTTCCACAAGAGGGTGATATTCCTTTGTTTTCTAATTTCAGTTAAGTTTGATAGAAAGGTTTTTGGTTATGACTTAAACAGAAGCTAAGAGAGCTTCAGGCCCTTTGTACTCTTGTTCAGTGTGAACCTGATGAGCTGGTGTGTGAACAGCAGGCCCGGTGGGAACAGGATGTGTTTCTATACTTGCTGGGGTGGCCAACTGGTAAATTTGGCTTCCCCAGTGGCTTCTGGGCCATGGTGGTTGTTGACATGGCACGGCCTCGAGGCCTTCAAGTTGCCAGATGTTTCATGGTTCTATTCCAGTCTGAGTCAGATGAGGTTGCATCTTCTCTTCAGGACTGAGTCCAACATACTGGCTTCCCTTTTCATTCTGCAAACATAATCATCAGCTACATAGCCCTGTTTGCAGCCTAAGCTGCAGTCTAGTATGTTTTTAACCACTTCTGGTGTCACCAGTGAAAGGAGATGAGGATGGGGGAGAAGGAAGAAAGGGAAGAAACTACAGTACTTGTAATAGTATTAAAACTACAATAGTATAAAAATGCTATAAAACAGTATAAAATTTTATAGTGTAAAATACTATAGCTGGGTATGGAGGCTCACACCTATAATCATAGCTACTAGGGAGGCAGAGATTTGGAGGATCTCCATTTGAGGCCAGCCTGGGCAAAGAGTTTGAGAGAGCCCGTCTCAACAGATAAAAACTGGGTGTGGTAGTACATGCCTGTCACGCCAGCTATGCGGGAAACATAAATAGGGTTGTGGTCCAGGCCAGCCTGGGCATGAGTCCAAGACCCTATTAACTAAAGCAAAAAGGGATGGGGCATGGTTCAAGTTGTAGACTGCCTGCCTAGCAAGTGTGAGGCCCTGAGTTCAAAACCCATTACTGCCCCTTCCCCAAAATATATATCCATACACAAACAAGCTAGGTATGGTGGCATATGTCTGTAATTTCAGCACTCAGGAGGTACAGGCAGGAGGATCAGGAGTTCTAAGTCAGTCTGGATGCATAGCAAGACCCTTTTTCAAGAAAAAAACATAGCCATGTAATACTAACAAACAAACCAAAAGAAAATTAGTAAAATATAAAAGGGTGCACATGCTAGATGCTGGTGGCTCAGACCTATAATTCTAGCTACTTGAGAGGTTGAAATTGGGAGGATTGGTTTGAGGATAATACAGGCAAATAGTTGGCGAGTCCCCATCTTCAAAACAACCAGAGCAAAATAGATTGAAGACATGGCTCAAGTAGTAGAGTGTCTGTTTTGTAAACACAAAGCCGTGAGTTCAAACTCCAGTTCCAAAAAAAAAAAAAAAAAAAAGGTACACACTAAGAAAAACATGGTTTTTCTACTTGGCAATCCAGTTTACAGAGTTATTGCCTATTGACAGTTCATTATGCAATTTGCTGGATCCTTTCTTGTGCATACAAACGTATATTTCACTGTGCAGGGTGTAAGTGTTTCCCTGTTAGACATTTGAGTCCATTCCAGCTTTGCTGCTGTTATATTTTTGCTGTTACAAACAATACTGCTGGGTGTGGAAGTGCATGTCTATCATCCTAGCAGTTGGGAGGCTGAGGCAGGAGGATCAAGAGTTTGAGACTAGCCTGGGCCACATATCAAGACTCTGTCTCCAAAGAAAAAAACATTAGGATATTCTCACAGATACATCTGTGGGCATTATGTCTGTAAATTTCAGGAAAATGAACTGCTGGATCAGAGATTATGTGCATTAAAATGGGTGTTTCACCAGTTGATGGAGCTGCAGATACCATATGAAAATGCCTTTTTCCCCTGTAGCCATGTCAGCTCTGAGTACAACTCAGTTTATAAATCTTTGCTAATAAGATTTTCGATCATCTCATCATTGTTTTAACTGATGTGTAATCATGAGAGGGGTTGGTACCATCTGGCTATTGGTCGTCTTGTTTCCTTTCTGGTGAAACAGTCTGCTCACATTTGCCCACTTGTTAAGTGAAATTTTGCCTTTTTTTTTTTGTGTTGGTTTTTCATTTTAGAAAGTTATTTTAGAATATATATATACAGTCTAATTGTTTAATCAGCACTTATTACTTCCCTTCTATAAAATAAAGAGAGTAAAATGTGTCATTCAGCAAAGGCTGAGTTAAGACAGGTAGCACTCACATCCTCTTTGAGTGTTTCCATCTGGTGAGACTAGCTTCCTGAAGTCCCTTCCCCTCGTCCATCATCCAATCCATCCACCTGGACCTGAGTCTTTCTGCATCTTCTTAGTGTTGCAAACTCAGTGAGTGTCACAGCTTCCTCAGGATGGGACAGGCTGGGCTGGACCCTGTGGCCTTCTAGTGTCAAAGACTATTCCCAGTTTAGATCTCAGCTGGGATCCCAGTTTGGTCCTGAGTAGTAGTATAGCTCCTCATTCAATGCACTGGTATTTGGCTGTCTCTTTTTTTTTTTTTTATTTCTTTTATTTGTATGTGCATACAATGTTTGGGTCATTTCTCCCCCCTTCCCCCCACCCCCTCCCCTTCCCCCTAATCCTTCCTTCTCCCCCACTACCCCCTTGCTACCAGGCAGAAACTATTTTGCTCTTATCTCTAATTTTGTTGAAGAGAGAGTATAAGCAATAATAGGAAGGACCAAGAGTTTTTGCTAGTTGAGATAAGGATAGCTATACAGGGAGTTTACTTGCAGTGCTTTCCTATACATATGTGTTACATTCTAAATTAATTCTTCTCGAACTAACCTTTTCTCTAGTTCCTGGTCCCTTTCTCCTATTGGCCTCTGTTGCTTTAAAATTTCTGTATTAGTTCCTTTGCATTGAGGACATCAAATGCTATCTTGTTTTTTTTGGGTTTCTTGGCTATCCTGATACCTCCCTTGTGTGCTCTCACCTCATCATGTAATCAAAGTCCAATCTCCTTGTTGTGTTTGCCCTTGATCTAATATCCGCATATGAGGGAGAACATACGATTTTTGGTCTTCTGGGCCTGGCTAACCTTGCTCAGAATGATGTTCTCCAGTTCCATCCATTTACTTGCAAACGATAAGATTTCTTCAAGGCTGAGTAATATTCCATTGAGTATACATACCACGTTTTCTTAATCCATTCATCAATAGTGGGGCATCTTGGCTGTTTCCATAACTTGGCTATTGTGAATAGTGCTGCAATAAACATGGGTGTGCAAGTGCCTTTGGAGTAACCTGTGTCACATTCCTTTGAGTATATCCCCAAGCGTGGTATTGTTGGATCATATGGCAGATCTTTGTTTAGATTTTTATTTTTTTTCCAGAGTAGTTATACTAGTTTGCATTCTCACCAGCAGTGTAAGAAGGTTCCTCTTTCCCCACATCCTCTCCAACACCTGATGTTGGTGGTGTTTCTAATGATGGCTATTCTAACAGGGGTGAGGTGGAATCTTAGTGTGGTTTTGATTTGCATTTCCTTAACGGCTAGAGATGGTGAGCATTTTTTCATGTGTTTTTTGGCCATTTGAATTTCTTCTTTTGAGAAACTTCTGTTTAGTTCACGTGCTCATTTCTTTATTGGTTCATTAATTTTGGGAGAGTTTAGTTTTTTGAGTTCCCTATATATTCTGGTTATCAGTCCTTTGTCTGATGTGTAGTTGGCAAATATTTTCTCCCACTCTGTGGGTGGTCTCTTCAGTTTAGAGACCATTTCTTTTGTTGAACAGAAGCTTTTTAGTTTTATGAAGTCCCATTTGTCTGTGCTCTCTCTTAGTTGCTGAGCTGCTGGGGTTCCATTGAGAAAGTTCTTGCCTATACCTATTACTTCCAAAGTATTTCCTACTCTTTCCCGTACCAACTTTAGAGTTTGGGGTCTGATATTAAGGTCCTTGATCCATTTTGAGTTAATATTGGTATAGGGTGATATACATGGATCTAGTTTCAGTTTTTTTGCAGACCGCTAACCAGTTTTCCCAGCAGTTTTTGTTGAAGAGGCTGTCTTTTCTCCATCATATATTTTTAGCGCCTTTGTCAAAGATAAGTTGGTTATAGTTGTGTGGCTTCATATCTGGGTCCTCAATTCTGTTCCACTGGTCTTCATGTCTGTTTTTGTGCCAGTACCATGCTGTTTTTATTGCTATTGCTTTGTAATACAGTTTGAAGTCAGGTATTGTGATACTTCCAGCATTGTTCTTTTTGCTGAGTATTGTCTTGGCTATTCATGGTCTCTTGTGTTTCCATATAAATTTAACAGTAGATTTTTCAATCTCTTTAATGAATGTCATTGGAATTTTGATGGGAATTGCATTAAACATGTAGATTACTTTTGGGAGTATAGACATTTTTACTATGTTGATTCTACCAATCCATGAGCATGGGAGATCTCTCCACTTTTTATAGTCTTCCTCAATCTCTTTCTTCAGAAGTGTATAGTTTTCCTTGTAGAGGTCTTTCACATCTTTTAAGTTTACTCCTAGGTATTTGATTTTTTTTTTGAGGCTATTGTAAATGGAATTGTTTTCATATATTCTTTCTCAGTTTTTCATTATTAGTGTATAGAAATGCTAATAATTTTTCTATGTTGATTTTATATCCTTCTACCTTGCTATAGCTGTTGATGGTGTCTAGGAGCTTTTGAGTAGAGTTTTTTGGGTCTTTAAGGTATAGGATCATATCATCTGCAAATAGGGATATTTTGACAGTTTCTTTACCTATTTGTA